GTATTCAAATATTAGTTGCAAACCTGTGCTTCTGATCAACTTGCTACAGAGTGGAGGTTCCCACAGCCTCCTCCATGGGTTTGTTAAATTTGCTAGAGTGGCTCACAGAGCTTAAGTGAGACATTTTACTTACTAGATTACTAGCTTATTGCAAAAGGATATAACTCAGAAACAGCCAGATGGAAGAGATGCATGGGGCAAGGTATGTGGGAAGGAGCTTCCATGCCCTCTCCAGGTGAACCATTCTCCTTGCCTCTTTTTTTTTTTTTTTTAAATATATCTTTATTGATTCCAGAGAGAGGAAAGGAGAGGGAGAGAGAGAGAGAAACATTAATGATGAGAGAGTCATTGATCAAGCCTGCAACTGGGCATGTGCCCTGACCGGGAATCGAACCCTGATCTATATCCTAGGTCGATGCTCAACCGCTGAGCCACACCCGGCCAAGCGTCTCTTTGCCTCTTTACGTAAAGGTTCACCAACCTGGAAGCTCTTCAATCCCAGTCCTTTGGGTTTTTGTGGCAACTTAATGAAGCACAAGCATGACTGATTAAATCACTGGCAGTTGGCAACCAGTAAAGATTAACAGCCCCTCTTTCCTTCCTTAGAACGGCTATGTCCAACACTTGAAGCATGGTTGGCTTTCCTCTTTCCAGGCAGTCCGCCCCATCCTTAGGTGCTCCTCAAAATCACTTATTAACATAACAAAAGACACCTTTCCAGTTCTCAACACTTAGGAAATTCCAAGGGTTTTAGATGCTCAGTGCCAGAAACTGGAAGGAAGATCAAATACATATTTCACAATTTGACTTAAAATTATTTGTTTGGAACATAGACAAGTTGTAGTGAAAACATAGAGTTGCTGATTGTTGCATCAGTAGTCTCTTGTGAATTCATTCATTATATTATAAAAATGGTAAAATGAATCCTCCTTACGCTGGTATTCTTTCATTAAACTTACTAAGGCTATTGAGAGATCTCTAGAAATTCTGTCTCTATGTTATGACTATCATATATATAAGTTCTTCAGCATGTATAGAGCTGTGAATTCTGCATTTTTCTTTTCTTGTATATGTTGAACATAAGGAATAGCAGTAATAGTTTGTATAGAAACTTTTAAAGTAGAGTTAAAAAGAGCAATTACCAAATAAAAATGAGACTACTTAAAGGTTACTGTGTCTTAAATTGTCATGTTCTGATTTCAAAATGACTTTGCCTACTGTACTGAATTATATTGTCTTTTAGGTCTATGCATGTATGATGGTTTTCTTCTTGAGCAACATGATTGAGAACCAGTGTATGTCAACGGGTGCATTTGAGATAACTTTGAATGGTGAGTTCTGAATAGTTTGCATTCTGTGATACATTTTAGGTGATTTATAATGAGCATTGGGCTTTTCTGTTTTTTGATAATGTGCTAAATTATCTCTTTATATGGTTCTCATCTACTTTCATGGCTTTAAAATAACATCTGTATGATGACCCCTGAATGTATAGCTCTGCACAGCTCTAGATCTCTCTTCTGTGTGCTACATCCAGAATCTTAAACTCCTACTTCCAAACCGTTGATTACCTCTGCTTCCTGTAATTCTTGTATATTCCAGTTTGTTCCTTCCCTGGCATTTCTCATTTATTTAATGGCACCATTATCATTCTATCCAGTTGCCCATGTCAGAAACCTAAGATAACATCACTTTTCCCCTTTCTCTCTATACCTAATGGGTTACCAAGTCTTCTCAGTTCCACCTTTTACATTTCTCAAAACAGCCTCATCCTTAGGTCCCCCATCTTTTTATCTTCATTGGCACCACTCTAGTCTAAGCCACAAATATCTTGTTCCCCTCTAATATATTCTCTAAACCAAAGGTTATCAAATATGGCCTATATCTCAAGGTAACAATAGTTTTTATATTTTTTAATTGTTAAAAAATATCACAGGAATATTTTGTGATACACAACAATGAAAAACTTTTAGAAATTTAAATTTATCGCTTAGTTGTATAAGTACCTATATAATATCCTTGATTTTGCCTCTTGATCCATAAAGCCTGAAATATTTACTGTTTGGCTTCTTATAGAAAAATTTGCTGACACCTGATCCAGACAGTGATTTTTTAAAAATGCACATTTCATCTTCTTGCTTCACTGCTCAGATTCATTAAATGTCTTTACTTTGATCTCAAGATAAAGACAACATTTAACATATCCAAAAGGCCCTGCATGATGTAGCCTAGGGATCAGCAAACCATGACTTTGTGGACCATATTCCATCCTGCCTGTTTTGTAAATACAGTTTTATTGGAACACAGCCATTCCCATTCGTTTATGTATTGCCTGTTTCTGCTTTCAGGCTACCATGAGAGTTAAGTAGCTGTGACAGATTGTATACCCTTTTGAGCTGAAAATGCTTACTATCTGTCCCTTTGCAATCTCTGATCAACAAATTCAGGCTAGTTCCTGCCTTCCTCTCTAGCCTCCCTTGTACCATTCTTCTATATTTTAGCTCTCACTTTTAATTATAATCTCTCACTTTTAATAACAGTACATGCAACGGCTCCTTTCCAGCCTCTCGAATCTCCCTCTCATAGCATCTTCTCATTTTAATTCTTAGTGCACATTTGTGATCTTGTAGCTATTTGTATAGTTTTTTTGTATTCTCTTACTAGAATGTAAACTCAATAAAAGCAAGAAGCTTAATTCTTTTGCTCATTTTTGTATTCCCAGCTGTGTACCTAGACAATAAATATTTGTGGAATGAGTGTTTATTACAGAATCATCTTTAATTTGGGGGGCTGGTACCATTTATTTTTATAGATGTACCTGTGTGGTCTAAGCTGGAATCTGGTCACCTTCCATCGATGCAACAGCTTGTTCAAATTCTTGACAATGAAATGAAGCTCAATGTGCATATGGATTCAATCCCACATCATCGATCATAGCCCCACCTATCAGCACTGAAAACTCTTTTGTAAGTAGTTTAAAAATATAAGAACTATGTATAGATATCAGTTAATTCTCATCATGAATCTGAAAAGATATTAGATACTACGTAGATTATCGCTTGAGTTTCCAACTTGGGATTTAACAGATGGATGTTTTCTTCATTAAAATTTAGAAGATATAAGGTTGTATTAAGTTATCTTCAAAGCTTAATAATTGGGCTTATAACATCATTTTTTACTGTGAACTTCTAATGGCCAGAATTGATGTATTATACTAGGATGTTTATATGCATATTCTCTCCCTACCTTCAAATAACTAGTTCCTAAGACTGTGCAAATTCTTTTAGCATGCTCAAAATAGAGAATTTATAAGCAAATATGTGTGAATGTGGAGAGGTAACTGTTAACTTTTGGTTAGCAGAGATGTTCTCAGTTCTTTTCTGATCAAGGAGTTGATTTTATAAGAGTGAAGTTTGAAGTAAAATATTCTTTTTTTTGTATGTCTTTCAGACATTAAGGGATTTTTGCAAGAGCAGCGTGACTGACATTATGAAGGCCTGTACTGAAGACAGCAAGCTGTTGGTACAGACCAGATGCTTTTTTGGCAGGCTCGTTGTACCTCTTGGAAAACCTCAATGCAAGACAGTTTTTCAGTGCTGGCACATTTTGGAAATCTGCACATTCGTGGAGTGCAATAATACTGTATAGTTATTTTTTCTCCCCCCAACCCATTCAGTTAATAGTTTTTTAAAAATGTAAACATTGCTACTTGTACCTTTTTTCCTTAGTCACATTTGAAAAAATTGCAAAATGAGTTAGAATTTGATTTTTTTTTCAAGGATGTCTGTTAAATCTGTTGTGATTTTTATATGAATTTTCCTTTTTTATAGTTTAGAATTGATCCTTTTGGGAATACAGCTGAAGTTCTCACTTTGTAAGAGTTTATCAGACATCTCTAATTTGGTCATGTCCAACTTACATAGGTTTCAAAATACTGCAGATTGTGAACAGTGCATTATACAAGATTATGGGGGGGAGATCCTATATGCAGAGTACTCTACCTATTTGTGTGTATGTGTGTATGCACGCTCGCGTGCTTTGCGCGCGAGTGTGATTGTCAGAGAAACTACTAAAAGACCAACAGCTTTTTAAATCCTGTTATAGTTCAAGTGTCTTGCCTTGACCAATCTAATGAATTGATTAACTGGGCCTTTATACTTAACTCAATAAAAAATAAGCAGATATAAGTAAAATAAAAACTTTGAATTTATTGCCCAGCGTACCTGTTAACATATTTAACCGTCGTCTGCTTAAATTTTTGTTTTTGACTTACAAATAATTTCATTAGGTACACACTTTCTATTCACAACAAATAATAGATCATTTACCATTTTTAGGATAATTGAAACTCACCTCACTAAAGAAAGTTTAGTTGAACTTGGAGATCACTTGTCTAATTTAACTTGCCTCACATATCAGAATTTTATTATAGTTGAGGGACAAAATTGAAAAATTTTTTATTCAGTGAATTTAATATAATTTCATAGTTCTAAAAAGATTATAGGAATAATTTAGCAGAAGTAGGACCATAATGTGGAAAAGTCATAGCAACAGTTATTTTAGCTTCCGTAAAGGAATAAAAGTGTTAGTGGAAGTAAAGGGATTTATGGAAAAGTTTGGAGATAATTCAACATTGGGTCCACCAAACACTTAGCACAACCATATACTTTGTTTGTCACTGAATATTTGTTAAATGCATGTATGGTAATGATCGTGATTGTACAGCCTCAAGGTGGAACATTCTGTAATCTCTGGCTAACAGGGAGTTAGACTGCAGAAAATTGATTAAAATGGCTTATCCTTTGCATTAAGACTACAGAACTGTTAACCTAAGTTCATATAGTGGCCAATATAATTTAAGCTGAGAAGTTACATACAGGTTATTATTCAGGTGTAGTAACATTTTGTTATCTTTGACTAGGGCTAAAACCTTGTTAACTTGATCTGTACCAACTCAGACTTCTATCTTCTGCAAGTTGAACACACTGCTGAGTGTGCCCAGGGTTTTTCTTCAGCTGATGGACATTCCACTAGTGACAGTTAATCTTTGGTATTTAGACTTTTCAACCTTGAGCCTTGGAAATGTTCCCATGTACTGTATTGGACAGGTCAGCTGTGAAGAACTGAAGAGTCTAACTTTTTCCATGTTTGCCTTGGGTAGATTAAATTGTCTTTTCGAGAATAGCTTTAGGTAGCTTAGACTCTGATAAAACTCAGCTATTTTGTTGATACCCATCTCAATATTATTGTTTTATCTTTGGCCATATTTAAATCTTTGGCCATATTTAATGGAGTTTAGTGAAAAATTAATGGGAAGCATGAATATAAAAAAAAAATTTAAGGGAAAAGGGAAAGTTTAAATGAAGCTATTTGGAATATAGTTTTATTCCTAACATTTTAGAATTTGTTAGTTGCTTGCAAATTTATGTGTCTCTGTAGTTTATAAATATCTATGTACTATATTAATTAGGAGACCATAGAACATGACAGCAGGGTCTCTAATGTTATTAGGGTTTTTATCGCAGTTACTATTGTGGAAGAAATTGTTAGATTAATAAAAAAATGTTGGGGAAACATGGCTTTATACCTCAGTATCAAGATGTGCAAGACAAACATGCTTTCAGAATATACACGCGTTATTTCCTTGTGGCACTAACAGTAACAGCAGCAGTTGATCAGCCTTTACCACTATCAAAATACAACAGGATCCCAATAGTAATTCTTATTTTGACTGTTTTTAGTTTGGGATTTTGTTGGCATTTTATCAATGTCATAATTTTAAATAATTCAGATTTTAAAAATAGCCTATAGAATTTTTTAAGCATGATTTGATATTTAATTTTAAAGCTTTTAAAAAAATCTTTTGAGAGAAATGTGAGGGATTGTAAAGTTTGGGGCTTACCTCTCTAACATTGTGAAAATAAACTTTTATTAAGCTCATGTGAAAGGAACCCCTCCATTGTGTAATTAAATCTGTGCCAGAGCACTTTATATGTTAACTGTATTTGGAAAACTTTATGTTGTAAAAATTTGTGTCCTCAAATAATGTTTATTTTATAATGACTTAAACCAACCAGTGCTAACCCAGAGGCTGGCACTCAAGTTCTTACCACTCTTGGACCTTAGGCTACTTCTCAAGTCTGCAGCCCACTTGTGCTTCAGTGTTGCTGAGCTGCCATCCACTCTGATGGCTTCTGTGCTGGGGCGGGACAGAAAGGAACCACTCACATCATGGTGCACCTTTACCCCCATCCTCCATAAATCCTGAGATTGTTACACATCATCTCCAGACCTGGAGAGAAATGAAATTTAACAGTTTCAGAAGAGAAAACCAAGTTCAGATATTTTTAAAAATTCAGCCAAGGCTTTTTGTTCACTGTTCCTGGCTCTTTTCCCTAGGCTACCTGGAAGCGGATAGAAATAGACCTGGGTCTGAACAGGATCCTGAAGAAAAACATAAACTGGTCTCACCTACTGTGGGCTGAGTGTTCCGTCACCCACTCTCAGGACTTATAGAATGTCTCCTGTTGCCTAGGGTTAAGCATAAACAAAATAAAAACAAAGCAGTAACTCTGTAAGCAAACCACAGCAAGCAATGGTTTTAAAACTTGAGTGTGTCTAAGAATCATTGGTGCAAATCCCTGGATCCTGTCCTTAGGGAGGCTGGTTCAGTTGGTCTGAAATGGGACCCGATTGTTTGCATTTCAGCCAAGCTTCCTGACAATGCTGATGCCAGCCTGTGGTCCACAACGAGGAGCACTGTGCCACAGAGCAAACGCCAGAGTTAGGGCTCAGCCTGGAAGAAAATGTAGCTCATAGGGCAGAAGGAGGTTTTGTGGATTGCTTCATGTCTGTAGAATGACAAGAACAAGACTTCAATAAAATGGGAACTCGAGAGACAATGAAATGAGAGGGAAATTGTTTCTTTTTTAATGTATTTTAAATTTTTGAATTATAGTTGACATTCAATATTATTTGATTTCAGGTAAGGTTTTTAAATTTTTTTAATTGAATTTACTGCAGTGACATTGGTTAATAAAAGTATATAGGTTTCAGGTGTATGATTCTATAACACATCATCTATATGTTGTATTGTGTTGACTACCCCAAGCCAAGTCTCCTGTCACAGATTATGTTTCTAAGGAAACAAGTTGAGGACTTAATTGTCCCAATTAATTATGTGACATGTTTGTTAANTAATAATGTGACATGTTTGTTAACCTTTGTTGGGTTAGTATTTTAGATCTTTTGGATAGATGTTTTAAAAGGAAATGTTAAATCTTTTAGTGTAAAATAACGTGTGGATTGCTGGATTTTCTCAGAGTAAAGCAGGCAACATGCTTGCGTTATGCTTATATTTTATGACAACTGATCTTTATAGTCACATAAAACGAGTCTTTAAATTTTTAATAGTTTTAAGTAAGGGAATTGCATACTTCTTATTTTATTGTAGTAATCATGGTAGAGCTCTCTAAATTACTAGGAAAACCCAATCTGAGCTTAATTAAGCACCCTCCCCTCCCCCCCAACACACACAAAGTGAAGGATTTATTGATTGATGTCGCTGAAAAAGCCAATGTAGAGTTGGTCTTAGGGAGTCAAATGTGAGTATCAGAACCCTTCATCTAAGTTGTTCGGCCTGGTTTCTCCATGAGCCTCCACCATCGCTGGGGGGAGGATCGGGTAGGGCTGGGGGGAGGGGAGAAATAAGAGCATGGATAAAGTCCCAGAAATGAACTCTGTCCAAGTAGGTCATGTTCCTATATTTGGATTGTATTTCTCACTTGATATCCATTCAAATAATTTTATTGTCTATTAACTTTTTTTTCTGTTTATTCCCTTCACTCAATCTCCTGCTTAATTATAATTGGTTAAGACAAGTTTGTGTATGGCTTTATAAGGTTATTAGCTGCTCTCAGACCAATTTCTTTGTTATTTGGGAATTATCTGGAATGGGTGGAGCTAACATTGGGTTGCTTGGCTTGGTTAATAACAGTGTTAGAATCTGGCAGGCAGGTTGCTACCAACTCTCCCTTGGGCCACTGGCTATACTCAGTTTGTGTACTAGCAACTTAAGAAAGGAAAAAAACAATTATTGTTCCTTTGTCTATTGCTGCTAAGAGGTCTGTTCGCAGAGAAATGTGCAGATGACATTCCCCCCTAAACATTTAGAATATATATATATATATTAGAAATTGCTGTTAGATTTCATCGTTCAATAGCCCATAGGATCTGGAGATGAGACACTATTTTTAGGTATTAAAATACAGATTTTTTTTTATGCACCTGCATGCTGGGGGAGCATAATCCGTGTCTTCATCAGAAAGGCCCTTGGTATTGAGAATGTGACTACCATGCCTTTCAGTGCTTTATGAAACCTCAGATGTTTGGCCTTTGGCCAAGGGTCTGTGATTTCATATTGTTGAAGGGGTCATTGTATCCCTAGGGGCTGCAGCTTCCTGTGTCTGCTGTGGCTGAACCAAGAAAGGCATATGTAGATTTCTCCGGAAATTATGATTCTGTCATGGGACCTGTTCTGAGCCTGGGGATGGCTCTGCCTTGGCATGGTCCAGGACTTTCTGTGTGTCAGGCAACCTTTAGGCTCTTGACTTGTGCAGGAAGATTTTCAAGAAAAGTCGGAGTGAGAGTGAAAGTAAGTTTTATTCAGGTAGAGACAGGACAGGACGTGCGCCAACTGGAGAGTTGTGCATGTGGTCAGTTCTTGGGATTTTATGTGTTTCCATTTTTTAATTTTGTGCCAAATTCTGACCCTGCCTCCTGGCTGGGAGGGGGCGTTTTAATATGGTCCCTTCAGGAAGTATCATGGCGCTTGCCCCCCCTTAGCCCCCTTCTATTTGTAGTATTAGGGCAGGATAGTAAGAAGCTAAGAAGCTAGAAAAATTCCTTGGCAAATGGAATGAGAGAACCTGAGACAAAATAGTTAAACAAGGCCGAACAATTAGCAGCTTGCTGATAAATTGCAAGATCTTCCTAACCAAGGACACCTAGCAGCAGATGATTTGTACCTCTCCTCCCCAATCAGAGGGTGAGTAGCTTAAGTCTCCCTGGTCTGGAAAGTAGTTGATGACATTAGTGCCAGCCAAACTCCAGAACGGATGGTGTCAGGGGAATAAATAACCAAAAAAGCCCAATTAGAGCCAGACAGACCCAAGGTAAAAGTAAAGCGCACCAGAGAATGATCCCAAACTCCCCTCTCTATACACTCATGATACATCAGCATATTAAAGGGCACACCTGGAAAGCTTGATTCTGTTGAGACCCTCTCCTAAGACCTCCCCTGAAACTACCACCTTTAGAATAGAGATTTTAAAAGTCCCCTGAGACAAGGGACCCAGAGTGTGCTCTTGCCTTTCTCTCTCCCCCTCCCTTTCTTCCTCAGGCATGTAGTTCTGCTTCTTTCTCCTAAGCTCTAAGGGTCCCCACGAGATTTGCAACCAGGGGATCAGTGGGCAGCAGCAATGCGTCCCGGGCTAACCCCCTGAACCTGTCTCTAAGGGCTCTCCTTTTGCCCCTGTAACTTGTTTCCTTTTTTAAAAAATTGATTTTAGAGAGGAAGGAAGAGAGAAAAACGTGGATTTGCTGTTCCACTTATTCATGCATTCATTGGTTGAATCTTGTTTGTGTTCTGACCAGGGATTGAACCTGCAACTTTGGCATATTGGGAAGACGCTCTAAGCAACTGAGCCACCGGCCAGGGCTTGTAACTTCCTTTCCTGAGGCCACGAAGCCCAGTCTAGGTTCACTCCTGTTGCTGTGATCTTGCCTCTTCTTTTTTTAAAAAATAGGTTTTTATTGATTTTTAGAGGAATGGAGAGGGAGAGAGAGAAACATCAATGAGAGAAACATCATCAATTGGCTGCCTCCTACATGCCTCCTACTGGAGATTGAGCCCACAACCCGGGCAAGTGGCCTGACCAGGAATTGAACCCGTGGCCTCCTAGTTCATGGGTGGACACTCAACCACTGAGACACACTGGCCTGGCTTGTCCCTCTGTCTTAAGCCTTTCCTTTGTTTCGCTGTCCCCAGCTTTAATAAATGTACTCTCGAAATCACCTGGACTTGTACTGTGAAATCTTACACAAAGTCAAGAGCCCACACGTTCCAGACTGCGCTGGGGCCGACTGGCCTGTCCTGGTCCCTTTCCAGTGACAGTGTCAGTTTTCATTATAATGATGGTACAATGAGCTTTGGTGTGGGTCTGTGGTCAGTTTTGGGATAATATGGTTTTAGCTAGCCCTTGTCAACTTCCGCAACTACCGCAGGGGCTTCCTGCCATAACCTTTCCCTTTGATCGCGTGCAAAGGTGGGGGCCTGTGCTGTCAGCTCCCACTTCCTCGTTCCACTTGGCGGGATTTCCCCCAGCATCTTTCAACCCAGCGATGAGGAAGGCTGCCAAGTGAGGTGGGAATGTAAAGAATTCCTCTGAGTTGAGTTGCATGGAAGTTTGTCATCGATGTGAATATTTGGACTAAGGAATAGTTTCGATAAGTAAAAAATTAACAAATACTATGGACCTTGAAATATATTTAAACAGTAGCTTACTTATTACTGCGATTCTGCCAGTAAGATTCTGTAGCGTGTTACACAGGTATTTGATGGTGTGAAAGATTTTTAGGATCTACCTCAGCACTCTCAAGACCAAGAGTGAGGTTATCGTGCCCTGATTCTGCAGCTTGTGGCAGTGCTGGGAAAACAGCAAAACCGTGGGTGGGGCTTGGGTGGCAGAAATTACTCCAGGGGTGAAGAGTAGGGACAGTAACAAAGCAAACTTAAAATCTCCATTTCACTTCACAACTGATTTACTTTTACTTTAGCTAAAATGGACTAGAACTTTTCAAATCAACTAAACTGAAGGACAAAGAATGAGAAGGCAAGTTTACATGATAAATTTTTTTCCTAACATATCTAAATTCTAGAT